TCCTATCTAAATAATTATTTACAAAATTGTAGTACTGTCTAAAGTCTTAAGCAATACAGATAACAAATTTAACATCTTAAGCCTAAATAGTAATACGTTTGCTATAGATAGCAGCCTGTTGTGTACCTATAACCTTATTAGTCTAATACTTTGTCTAATACTAACCTATTAACACCTACACTTTATTAGAGTTATAATAAAGAACTTAGTAGTTATCTGCAATGCACAGAGTGCCTAAGCGCTCTACTAAAAAGTAACAGAGTTATTATAACTAATATTCTAGGTAATTTTGCAAACTAGACAACAAAAAGGATTAATAGTAAAGAAAAAGTAAGTATCTTACTTAGCTAACTAGTAATACTTAATCTATTACAGCGTTGCTACTACCTATAATTAGTATAAAATAAAGTATATAGGAATAAGATTTAATATACACTTATCCTTCTAAAGCTTTTAACCCTTACTAGTCCCCTTTTATAATAGAACACAGGCGCCTCCCTTCTTGTAAGTAATTTGCTGTAAGGGTAGCAGATTACTACACTTTTAGTAAAAAGTTTTCTAACTCTTCTGTCCTTTATCTAGCCTAGGAGTAAGGCAGGGAGCTTTTTAAGGCGCTTTATAAAGAGCTTTGCGTAGAGTTTTTCTAAAAAGAGCTAAAATGCATTAGCAGTGTCTATTACTATGTTTATTACTATTACTATACTCTTCCTAGCACTATTTACTAGAGGAAGACAAGAGTGAGACATTTTAACTAAGTAAATGCTATAAAGTAAGTAATAAACTAGACACAGGTCTAAACTAATATTAGTGTAAAACAGCATTATAAGTAAATAGGTACATACATAGAGTAAAGGTTAGTAAAAATAGTGCAAAAAAGCTACTACTTAGCAGTAGGTTAGTTTTAAAGTAAGTAGCAGTAAAAGTATAGGTGTAAAGGTTTAAAAAGTTAGGTAGCAACTTAGTTAAAGCTAACTTTTACTTTTACTACTTACCTAGTAACTTTACTAGGACCCTAACTACGTTACTAATATTATACTAGCAACTAAGAACACGTACTGTTACACAACTAGCTCTTATAAATTGTGTTAAAAACTCTAAGTTTATAATAAACTATTATATTTAGCAGTATTAAACACAGTATTAGATGTTATATTAAACACATAAAACTATAGTAAAAGTAAGCAAAAGTAAAATTTTTAATAAATAAAAAAAATTTAACTAGCTTACTGCTATTTACTGTAGCAACACACTACACTATGTAGTAGGCTGCTGCCTAAATAACGCAATAGCCTACGCATATGTTTAAGGACTTTAATTACTTAGACTTACACATACCTTCTTACTTCTACAACGCTACTAGTTAATTTTTAGTATAGCGTAATATTATATAAATCTTTACATAAATTATCTATTACCTATTTATTACTACTACATGCACTATAGTAAAGTGTAAGAAAAGCTTATTAAAATACTTTACTAACCTAAGGACAGTGCAAAATCTAAAGCAGCAGACCCTACTAACTAGAGAGGGCGCCTAGCGCAATTTAGACTATATTGCGACTAATACAGCCTACTCTAAATTCTAGACTAACAAATTCTACCTAGCAGTACAGCATCTATTAGATGCTAAACATAACAATAATAAAAAGTCTAAACTAGAAGCACACCTATGTGTACAATCTAAGAATGTTACAACAGCAATATAGTAAGTGCATATAGTATTAGACAGGTAATAGACAGTAGCTAATCTATTACAGATTTAGTAAGAGTAAACATTATAGCTAAAAGGCTATTAAGTGTAGTGCAGACTTTAGTAAATTTAGTAATTAACATGTATTCTTTATTAAGTAAACCACGCTCTTTAAACTCCTAGACGCATATATGCCTCCCTAACACTACTACCTAGACATAGAGCCTATAGATATTAACAGTCTAGAGCCTATAAACGCTGTTAATTTCTAATATAATAACACTTTAAATAATAGCAGTCCACTCTTTGCAGTACTAATAACAGACATAGAGAAAGCTAACAAGCTGCGCTAATAGAGATATATTAAATTAATATTAGTAGATGCAGTTACTAGTACTAATAAGAAGATTAAATTTCTAAAGATGCACAACTTCTGCGCCTATGTCTAGCATATAAGTAATACTATATTCTAGGTAAGCATATGCTACCTAATACATCTAATACCTGTCTAATACTAGTCTAATACTTATCTAATACCTGTCTAATACTTTACAGCGCTATGTAGACTAGATATGTGCAGGCTTTTCTAGGTACCTACTACCTATTAGCAATAATATTTAAGACTGTTAATGTTAAGTAAGTTTCCTATTAACAGCTACAATATTCCTTAAGTAGGCTAATAGTAAGATATAGTCTACTATAGTTAAATTAGTATTTAACTTTACTAATTAAGCTTTTTATAAAGTTGTTGCTATTAACAGTCCCTTCTAGCTACTAATTCTACCTTTTAAGATACTATTCTTAAGGGCTAAACAGGTAATTATAACAGTATTATATGCTGCACAGCTAGGCAGTTACTTCCTAGCTTTTAATATTTAACTAGTAACCTTAAACAAGAGTATTAGTTTCTTAAAACTATTTAATTATAAGTTCCTTAATAATTCTAAGTAAGTTTAGTATTAGGTAAAGTATTAGACACTAGCTAATAATATTACACAGACATTAAGCTACATTCTAGATAAATTAGTTTAACATAAAGGACATAAAGTACCTGCTAGATACTATTTAAGCTAAAGATAACATAGTGCTAGTAGATTTAACCTAGTTTATTAACATGCTTAAGCTAAACAAGCACTAGAAGTAGAAAAGAAAGTAGCTTAGACATATTAAATAACTTATAGCTACTTAAATAAATAGTTTATACTCCTAACTAATTACTACAACCTCTAACTTATATTAGCATTTTACTTGCTAATTATAGTAGAGTAAGAATTTTTTAAGTAACTAAAAGAAAAAAGTTTGTTAAATATAAGCTTTTTAAAAAATTTAACCTACAACACTACTACATATATAAGCTCTAGTGCATAATTACAGCTTCTACTTATATAAAGAACTGCTTTGTCTAAACTAAGTCTCTAAGACTTGTAAATAGTAATAGCCTAGGCTAAAAAAAAAAAAAACTATGTTTATAAAACTACTACCTAGTTCTAATAAAACTCTTAGTAAATAAAGAAAATTAGAACAACTACCTAACTATTAGCTTACACATACAAACCTAGACCTATATAATTAGGAAAGGCTACAAGGACTGCCTTTAGCGCCTCCTTATAATAATTAGTTACACTTAATAACTATATAATGTTATTAACTTCCCTAGTAGATCTATTTACAAGACCTGCCTTAGTCTAGATGTTATGCAATAGCATAACACGCCTACTAATGCATAGAAGAAGTAAACTATAAAGATTGCTACTATTTATAGCAGACACCTTAGCTAGCTTACTACAATTATGCTAAGCGTAAGCTATAATTATAGGTGCACATAAATCTTTTATACTTTAATAATTAATTACAGATACCTCTACCCTTTTTCTACATAAATAAATAAAGGTAGAGAAGGAAGAGCACTTACTTTTAGTAAAAAAAGCACTATAATAGCTTATAAACAAGTTCTAGTTATTTTATGTGCTTATACTTTTACAAAAATAGCTAAAAGCTTTGTAAAATTATAACTAGCTATCTTCTTACTGTCTTATAACTACATTAAGAATAACTGTCTTTATAAATTACTAATATAGTAGTTAACTATAGTAGTTAAAGACAGAACTATTACTAAAGCTATTAAATAGTAAGCGCCTGCTTACTAAAAGAAGCTAGCTAAAGTCTTCTAATAAGATAATATTAATACTGCTAAACAGAGCTATACTCTAAGGAAACACTTATAGACATCTTTTATAAATTTAGGATAATATTTTAAGTCTAACTATTAACTTCTTATTAATAATAATATACTTTATAAAACATAGTTAGGCTTATAAAGCTTATAAGCTAGTACTAATAAGTAGTAGCAAAAGTCCTAGTTTAACAGTAATTAGAATACAGAAAACAGAATTTAGAGTTGTCCTAGATATAAGATAAGCAGCAACGCTAGTAGGTGCGCATTACAAGATAGGTAAAGCAACATTATGCTTAGCTACTAATGTTTCTAGCTTAGATAATATTATTTTAATTACATACATCTTTCTAGTCCCTCTAACACTATTAAAATTAACAAGTAATTGTTATAAAGACTATTTAGCAAGAAAAGTAGTGTAATAATTAATAATTAGGTTGTATAGCAACTGCTGCTTAGCTTACAAGTTATTAGACACAGTAATAGACACTACAGGTGCATTCTTAACTAGATAGTTTTACTTAATATTTTACTAATATAACACAGGATCTAAATAAAATGTGTTAAAGTAAGCCTTATGCTTTTAATTCTTAGCATAGTTAATTAGCTAATCTCCTAAGAACTTATTATTAACAAGAATACCTACATCTCTAAGTTAGAGACAAGGAAGCTTATTAAAAAAGAGACTCTTTTTAAGTACTATATTCTCTTACTTAGGATTCTTTTTTTTTCTTACACTTCTAAGTCACTATAAGAATCTAATAGTGTATAATAGCATAACATTTAGCATCTTGCATAAGCCTTAGTAAAAGTAGTAAATACTTGCCTATTAACATAGTATAACTCTAAAGTTGTTTAAAATAGATAGTGTAATGTTAATTTAATATAAAAAAAGTTTTTAATGTTAATAGATAGTTTATATTAAAGAATAAAGTTAAGAATTTATAGTTTTACTTAAAGGCTACACTTTAGGCGCTTATTATAATTAAAATAAAGTAGGTAATCTAAATAGCAGATATTAAAAAGGGCTACTAGGCGTTTAATATACTTCTACAGTATGCTCTTGCCTTTTTAAAGGGTATAAGTTTTAGCTTTATTGCCTTTATTAGCTACTTAATTATCTTTAGGCTGCCTACTCTAGAAAAAGAAGAAGACTAGCTGTAATTTAAAAGAATAATAATTAACATTAATAACTGTGCAGCTACAGTGTACTAACGCAATACTAAATAGAGTATGCAGAACCTTCTGTGCACTGTAATTATAAGAGCTAATACTCTTATTAAAAAGCCTTACTACAAAGAAGAGCATTAGGTTGCTAGGTTTAATATACAGTAATATCTGCCCTACTATATTCTTAAAAGTCTGCGTCTGTGTCTCGCCCTTTAAAGCGTACACGCCTATATAGTTAACAACGCTAGTAGTGCTAGTGCACACTTATATGTTAGTATTTGCGCGCCATCTAAGCGCAAGTATAGGTAAATAGGCGTTAAGGCGCATATAGTTTCTCTTAGTAGCAAATTTTTTATACTGCTTATCTACTAGCTTCTTAAAACCTAGACTTATTTATAAAGGCTAAAGTGCATTAAATTAGTAAACTTTTATATTAGTTTTTTTATTTTTTTTAAGATAATAACTAGCTAAACAGCAATAGATATAGCACTAAGTAAGAACACTTAAGAGCTCTTTAAGGTTAAATAACATAGCTAGTGCTAGTAGTAACAGCACAGAACCCTTGTCTACTAGCTGCTGTAGATTCGGCTCTGGGTGCATTGCTAATATATAACACCCCTAGTATGCTGCTATGCAGGCAATATTAAAATTAGTTGCATTATTGCCTAACTCTAAATCTAGGTTTAGTACTCCTTTATAGTAGTATAAGCTATAATTATGTGTACTACCTTAGCCTTACTACTTATACTAATCTTAAAAGTTAGTTATGTTAAACTTAAGAGTTAGAACATAGGTTTTAAAAAGCTAAAATTACTTATTAAAATAATATGCTATAATATAAGGATTATTCTAGACAAAATTAGAAGTAAAGTAAACATGTTACTTTAAGTTTACAGCCTCCTACTCTAAAAACTTTAGCATAAAGCGTAACAGATTATGCTAATGTTAATCTATAGTAAAGAATGTAATAAATAAAGTTAGATAGTGTAGTTAGCGCACCTTGTTAATTTTAGCAAACATGTAATGTAAAGGTAATAAATAGGTAATAAATAAACTATTACTTTTAACACTTTCCCTTTTTATACCTAATAAGATTAAGTCTTATAAATGTTAGCTATAAGCTTTATAATAAAATTAATTAAACACTAGCTACTATCTAGCTAATTAAACTCCTCTTATATTAACTTAACTATAATGTCCTTGTTACTAAAAGATTTTTTAACATAAAAACCTACCTTAGTAGTAAACTCTTAGCAGAGGAGGGTGTTAAATGCAGCAAAACAGAACTGTAGGTAGCGTGCAAACTGTCTATCCTTATAGTAAATAAGATGCTAGATATAGAATAGATAATTAATTTTTTATAAGCGCAGCTAAACAAACTCTACTGCTTTATATAAAAATAAAAATAAAAACGCTAGGCTTAGTAGCAGCTTATAGTTTCTAAATTTAGACAAAGAAGTCTGTTTTATAAAAGCTATAAAAAGGTACGTCTAATTAGTTGTCTTCTAGATATGCTATTATAAGGTCTTAAATTCTATAATGTTTAAAGTAAAGTTAAAGACAATTCTATAATTAAAATCTTTTAACTCTTTAATTTCTAGGTCTTTTATTACTAAGCTTTTATAATAGCTAGTTACATTACTTTATTCTAAGGTGTTAAGATAGATACTAGCTATAGAACGTAACAGAATACTACAACCTATGCTAGAGCTAACTGTTAAGCGCTTAGTACTAGGCAGCTGTAGGTGTTATACACTAAAAGGAGTGTAAGATTTACTTACACCTTAATTAAGTATTTTAAGTGCACTTACAACGCTTTATTAATAGTTGTTAGTTACACTAGCAGTAGTACTAGAATTAGACAGCAGATTAACATTATGCTTATAAACAGTATTAGCGCAGGTATTAGACACTAGGTTTGCATTAACATTATCTAGAGTAGCTAACAACTCTTTTTTAGTTATATAAATAGTAGAGAGCTAATTATTAATATAGTTATTAAAAAGTAAAGAATTAAGTGCTTCTTAGTTAATTTTAATGTTATAATAGCTAGAATAGTTAGATTTAAGAAATAGAAGCTACTATAATATAATAGTTTACTGCACTTTATAGTTCTTTCTAAATTAGTAATTAATAGCACTAACATTTTTACCTTTAAATGCTAGAAGCTTTAAGATAATAATATTAAGATTATATAAAAATAGTAGTAAGTAAAAAAAGACCTTTGCAGTATTTATAGTAAAATAGTAAACATACTCTTAATACTTATACTGTTAACCCTAGTGCTGCCTTAGCTCTATTGTAATCTGCACTCTAGCTAGAAGTTGTTCCTTAGTTGTAGTTAGTGTTAAAAGATAAGATAGCACAGGACTAAGATCTAGCCTATTTACAGCACTCTATAAGGGCACCTAATTAGGATTGTTTAAGTAGTTGCGCCTGTCTTTTTAACATGTAGTGCATTTATATAGAGCAATATCTAAATTAAACTACCTCTAGTTGTACACTTTACATTCCTCTAAATTTATCTTTTTAAGCTTTAAGTAAAATTTTACTATTAGACTTTTATTTTTATCTAATAGCACTAGATTATTTAGAGATTTATCTATAGTAAATTACATAATATAAAGTGTTTTTAGCATGCTATATGCTCTTTATTCTGCTTTAAATAGAGCATCTATTCTAGCCTTATCCTCTAACAAACGCACAGTATTGCTGTTTACTAATTTTTGTAATAAAGCAACTAAAAATTATCTAGAAAGATCTCCCTATAATAATAAAAAGAACTAAGGAGTAAAAGAAACGCTTAGAATGCTAGAGACATTGCTAAATAAGTGTAGTCTACAAGATTAATAAGTCTGTTCTAATATATGTAACTAGTACGCATTTTAAAGGAGCGCAGGAGTTAGACCTAGGTTTAATAGTAGTATAAGCTTAAGGGCCTTGTGCTGTATAGTACGCGCCTATATATTGCCTTAACAACTTGCACAGTTTGCTTTCTACTTAACGCTATCCTTAAATTAATTAATGCCTTTAATAAGAGCAGTGTTACATTTGCTGCATTTATATAGAGGTGTAAAAGTACAAGACTAGGTGTTAAGTAGTTAATAAAAAAAAGCACTATTTAGTTAACAAGATTAAGTAAAGCATGTTTAGCAAAAATAAGCAGCGTGTGTTTAACAAAAGTAAGTAACACTATTTTAATAAAAATTATTTTAAACTGTAACTATAGGGATATTTGCCGCGTTTATAATATTAGTAAGTAAGTAATGTTTTTTCTTTACATTAGCTAAAAGATCTAGAGCAGTAGGGGTTGCTAGGCGTTTTTTAGTAGGCTAGGGTTTAGTAGTATAAGAAGCACAACACGCCTTTTATTAAAAAAACCACTAATTAGTTATAGAATTAAGTAGACAGTAACAGTTAGCGCATTAAAGTAGGTTATTTAGGTTAAAGAATAGTTGCAGCATAATGCTTAGCAAAGTAGTATTAGATAGGTAATAGACACATAACAACAACATTTAACTGCAGCAGGATAAACACGTGCAGCACGCGACCTACCACAGCCTGCAACTAAGCGTGGCTGATGCAAATCCCTAACACACTAATGTGGCTAGAGAGGTGGAACAGACGCAACTAACTATAATTTAAACATGTTTTACACAACACATGCTAGAGCAAACTGTGTACAAATTAACATAAAAGTGCACTTATATTAGGTATACATTTTTTTTTAAAAAAGAATGTAAGAAATATATAAGGTGACAGAGAAATAGTGTTACTAGAGTTTATCTAAAGAAATTATGACTAACTAGCGCGTCTAAAAGAGGAGATTCTGCTAAACTTTTCGTTCTGCAAACCCGAATATAATAAGCAGAGCAAGCTCTGCTAATAAGCGTTATTTTTATATGCCTTATCTAGCTGTTTTACTACTTAGATATATTATACTGCTTTATTTTAACACTTAGAGAAGGCCTATATAGCTTTACCTAGCTTATTTACGCTATTTCTATGTAAAGTAACTCTTTTAAAGCATATGTAAAATACTTAGGCTAAGAAGCACCTAAATAATGCTTACTATAATGTTAGAATTACTTTTAAAATTAACTAAAATAATATATAGTGTTCTAGCATTAAATTAAGCGTAAATTAGCTAAGATATTATATAAAGTATAAGTTATAACTTTTTAGGCGCTAGAAGGTGTTATTTATGTAGAGATATAGTGTAGATCTATAGCATGTTACTACGGTAAGTAAAAAAAAGTAGCTATAGCTTTATTAAGCTTACTATAAAGCTAGTGTTTAAAAAGTAGCTAAACTTATTAATAGTAATGTTTATATAGTAAAGCATCTTAAAGTAGTTTATAAAATTAATACTAACATTAGCGTACTGCTAAATAGCCCTTAGAGGCCTTTAAATCCCTTTATAGTAGTAGTAAAAGTAGTAAAAGTAAGGCAGTAGGTAGCTTATACACTGTAGCAGAAAGGTGCTCTAGTGTAGGTGTTTATTAACTAGGTAGTTATATCTAATTAGTTACTATAGTAATTAACTTTAGCTAAATATTAAAGTTTTATTACTTAAAATTAACTTAATTTTTTAATACTTTTTTTACTTTTTTAACTATGCTATTATAATATCTTTATAATAGTTTTATAAAGTAAAAGAAAAAAAATTAAACTGTATTATATAAAGCTTATAGTAAAATTATGTTAAGCTTAAATAAGTAGAGTAGTCTTAACTACTTTTTAATACTAAGAGTTATTATGTATTTTATTAGTAAGTAAGCCTTATTAAACTTAGCTTATATAGCTTATAAATGTGTATATAAATGCTAACACCTAGCTATAAGACTTACTTATTAGCTTTAAAAACCTATATAGTAATAGAACTAGTGTAAATTAAGCATATACTATTATTAAAGTTCTTTAAAAGTATAATATTAAGTTAAAATTCTACTACTTTATAGTAAATAATATATTAAATAATAATATCTAGCTTATTAATTATCTTAACTTGCATATAAACCTTAACTTTAGCAGCAATAACTAAATACGCTGCGCTAGCTATACTATTTAAATTATTATTAAGGCAGTTATTTATAGTAATAATATAATGTTTGCATTGATGACTCGGATGCATCGTCAGCATGGTCACACGATAGTCGGATGTGTCGGATGTGTCGTCACACGATGGTCGGATGCATCGGCAGATGCATCAGCACCATAGTCTGTTGCCAAGACCCACCCACTTATTTCGCATATATATAGACTCCCGCAAAGGACTCCTCCAGGAATACAATACAATCCAGTTCCTCATGTCTTTGGTGCTCCACATAGCTTCACATATAAGCTTATAAAAATAAAAGCTAGCTAATATAGCTTTTTAAAATTAATTTAAGCTTTATTAATAGTATAAAGTTATTAGAAAGCTTTATAACTTTTATAACTTAGTTTTTTATTTAAATAAGTGTTATAATAGCTTTATAGCTATTATAACTACACTAAGTAAGAAGAATGTTTTTTAAAGCTTTAGTACACTAAATCTACTATAAGATAGTAGTGTATAGTAGTATTTTATTTATTTTATAATTCTATATTATTTTAAACTTAAAAAGCTTATTTAGCACTTTATCTAATCTAAGCGCTATAACATAGGCCTTACTAATAAGGTTAATAAGAATATTAAAAATAATAGTTATAATTCTCTACTTAATAGCTTTACTAATAATAAATAAGTAAAAGTAAAGTATATAAAAAATTTTTTAAAAATTTTTTATAAAATAACTAAATGCTTTAAAAGCAGCACTAGTAAATTAAGCTATAGTAGCTTATAGTAAATAATTATATACTTATAAGTAATTAATAATAAGCTTAGAGTATAAAAAAAGCGCCTATCTTATAAGCACTATAGTAACTACTTTAAAAATAGTGTTGCCTTTATCATTAAAAAGCTTACTATGTACTAGAAAACTTTTGTTTTAGAGCTAGAAATCTTCTACTACTACATAGCAACTATTTTTAACCCGTCTTTCCGCCTTTTCTAGTTTAAAAACTACTAAAAACACTACTTATTTTAGTATAAGTATATAAAGTTGTTTATCTAAAAGATTTATACACACTACTTAAAGACCTTTAAAAAGGAGAAGAAAAAAAAGAAGGTAGTGTTACTAAAGATATTATAAAGAAAGCTTTTAGTAGCTTATAGTAACCTACATAATAAGCGCCTTAAAAAGGCCCTTTTAGTTAACCTTAATATTCTTTATAACAACAAAAGTTATAGCTTAAAAAGAAAGTAAAAAGTTAATAAGTTAAACTTTTACTTTAATTCTTTAGTAGAAAATAAGTACACTAAAAATTAGCTACTTACTTAGCTACTTAAGTAGTAGTAGTAGTAGTAAAGTTAACTTTACTACTTTATTTTTTATAAAATTACTCTTAAATTCTTATTAATTCTAGTAACTTTATGTAAGTGCAAGTAGTGCTTCTTATAGGCTAAAAAGACTATTATAATAAAAAAGAATTAACTATTAGTATTAATAATAAAGGCTTTTTAACTATAAAAGAATTAGTTATGTAATAACACTATTACTAGTAAGCTAACTTGTAACGATTCTCGTTCTATCTTAGGTCGCCCGGAACCTATCCGAAGGGTCCCCGTATCAGCTCTGACCCTAACTTAATTCTCATGAATCGTCAGGTCGCCCAGAACCTCCGGAAGGCCCCTGTATCAGCCCTAACCTTAACCTAGCCCTGACCCCTGCTGTTACCCCTATTCCTTTATGTATTTAGTTGCACCTTGCCTCTATAGCTAGCTTAGTAGTTTTCTAATATTCTTTTATACAAGGCCTATAGGTGTTAATAGCATTCTTAGGTTTAGAGTCCCTACGCACTCTTATATGCCTCTAAGTAGATTCCTACTACATTTAGACCTATTGTCTTGCCTGTGCTATTACATTATATTAGAAAACTTACTTTTACTAGTAATAGCTTTATATAATATTACACTAATTATTTATTTAACTATATTTAAGCTCTAAAACATATTTAATTTAGTTTAAGTTATAATACTTATATACTATTATATTAAACTATTTAGTTTATAGACTAGATTTTATTAACTTTAAGTTAACTAAAGCTTTTAAGTTTAAAACTTTTTTTCCTCTATAATTAAGATTACTTTTAGAAAAGTTATAAAAAAGTGCTAAAGTAAAACTTAAAAACTACTAATAACTTATTAAAATTAAAAGTAACTACTAATGTCTAACTAACTACTACCCTTTAATTCTAGAATTAAAATACGCTCTAGCTAAAGTAAGCCTTTTAAAGTTAATTAATAATTTATGTTAATAGCTAAACTTACTTTTATAGCACTTAAAGCTATACTTTTACCTAATTTAGAGTTAACCTTTAGTAGTATATTTATTAATAATTAAATTACTTAATTATAAGCATAGCTTAAGTAGCTAATTTAGCTAAAAACTACTAGTTAACTTTTACTAACTACTAAATTACTTTTAATAATGCTTTATACTACTTTTACTACTTTAAGTGTAAGAGACTTTTTAGGCACTTTTTAGATCTAGCAAATCTACTTTACTAAATGTATGCTTAAAATTAGAATTCTTATAGACAGTAAAGAACTTATATTTAAATAATAGTAAGCTTTTATTATAGATAGACTTAATATTAATTTAGATTACTATTAAAGTAAGTGTGCATATATAGCATTAATATAAGGACACATAGCTAGTATTATAAAGGATTATTTAGAGCTAGGATACCTAGCTAAATTAGACTAGTTTTAGTTTAAAAGTGTAAAGAATATAATAAAGCTTTTATAAGCTTATTTTATTACTAGTTAAAAAAAAACTAAAGTATAGTAAGCATTCTAAACTTTTAAAATAAATAAAAAAAAAGTTTTTTTTATATTTAAAGCGCACTTTATTAGTGCAGCTATTAAAAGAAAAGTATTTTAGTTAAATTAGTTTTTTTACTTATAAAAAAAGCTTTCTAGCTTATAAATACTAAATTATAGTTTTAAACATACTAAGGTAAACTTTTTTAAAGCTATAGTAGCCTACTTTATAGTGTATAATTTAAAAAGAAGGACTTATAAGAAAAACTTTATTATCTTATTTAAATTAGCTTTAATTAATAAACTACACTTACTACTCTAATAATTAATAACTATATGTGTAGTGTTTAAGTTTAAAGGACACTGCTAGTAGTGTAAAGAAATACTTAGTAAGAACACGTAGCTAAATTAGACTAGTTTTGTTTTAAAAAGGTAAAGAACATAATAGCAATACTTTATACTATAATTACTACTAATAAGGACTATTAGTCTATAAAAAGGGGAGTAGTGTAATAATTTTTATTTTATTTTAAGTTGCCTAGAACTTATTTAAAAAGTTTTTATATTAGCTTTAACTTTAACTTAATTCTTATAAATTATTAGGTTACTTAGAACCTCTAAAAGGCCTCTATATTAGCCCTAACCTTAACCTGGCTCTAACCTCTGCTGTTACCCCTATTCCTTTATGTATTTAGTTGCACCTTGCCCCTGTAGCTAGCTTAGTAGTTTCCTAATATCCTTTTGTACAAGGCCTATAGGTGTCAATAGCATTCCCAGGTTCAGAGTCCCCACGCACTCCCATATGCCTCTGAGTGGATTCCCACCGCATTCGGACCCATTGTCTTGCCTGCGCCGTTACATAACTAAGCTTATAAAGTATATTAAAATAGTAAGATTAATAATAGTAGATCTTATAAAAGGTATTATAACTTTTTAATTAAGTATAGTCTTTAGCTTTAGCGTAATTACTTTATAATATTTTAATATACTTTAGTTACTGTATCCTAACTGTACACTGACGTCATCTCCTCCGTACAGTTAGTTAGTAACAGCCTCCTCTTCCGTAACTGTACTATACAGCCTCCAAAAGGCTCCGTAACTAACGGTTGGACACACTGTCATTTGACCGAGAGTGAATAACCGTGATAAGAATACCAGACTACGGCAAACGATAGGGAAATGTTTCTGGGGACTCCAAGGCTTGGGCACCTTCCTGCAGGACAACCTGTCGTGCACTAGACTGGCAGCACCATCGACCTGTTATTGGATGCTAGATCGCCAGCGGTTCTTCTGCCTAGTTGCCAGTGGGTGTGGAATTGAAGCTGTTGATGCCCTAAAGAATTAGGTTCGAAGGGTTTTTCGATGGTGCAGAAGACCTCTCAGAGAGGGGCTGTCTGGGGCTCCATGCAAAGAAGGTAGACACGAGGATGGGCTGGGACGCTGACGATCTGGAGATCACATCGCAGCCGAGATGCCCTCGGCAAGGGTGAGGAATGATTGAAAACTTGGTTGCTGGAACAGACGCAGAAGACTTCCGGTGTCAGTGAACGGGGTCTCGTTGGACCACCGTGGTTTTTCCTATGCAGAGACGGGGAATTCTGGCACGAAAAGGCTGACTCTGACCCTCGTTCGGCGTTGACGACGGTTGAGAGCCAAAATGGGTCGTGAGAGTTGCATTGCCCGCTCAGATTTCGCCGCCGGTTATCAGGCCAAGCCTCGGGCTTGGCGGGTGTCTGGCATTGTGATTGGGCGTCCGTTTGATGCACGATTGGAGGTTTTTGATAAGGGCCATGTCAGGGTTGCAGAACCACTGAGGCACAAAAACGAGTGGACGGCCTGACATGAACCGGCCGGCTTTTCACAGCAAGTATGCAGCCCAGCAAGGCTCGTGAGAGGACGAGAACTGGCGGAGATGACCGAGATCCGCCAATCAGTCGTGTTGCGGCGCGAAACTGCCAGCCCAAAAAGGCAGTTGCCAAGCGTGAAGAGTGACGCTCCTGGGCCCGCGATGGTGGCACGTCGTCCCAATTCGCCGCCGCACCCATTCACTGTTACAACGAGAATATAATCCCGTCATGTCTTCCGATTCCCTGATCTCAATTCCTGCCCTCTTCAACCACAGCCTAGGAATTCTCCCCCTCCCAACTCTTCATCATGGCCGATATCTCGCGTGGTGAGCACAAGAACTCCCCCGTGCTAGGCGTTCTTCGGAACGCAGACCCCGCCCTGGATATTTTGAAGGAGCATCCCCATGAACACCTTCATCACGATGCCCTCGCCGAGAAAGGTCACACCCACGAAATCGCCTACACCACAGGCACCACAGATGAGCCGAGTGTTATCCCGAAGGTTGATCCAAATGACGATGTCCTGCATCGATGTCGACACCCAGAGAAGAACCTCGAGCATGATGTCGAGAAAGGCGCAGGACTCGAATACGGCGAAAAGACTAGCTTGAGCGACCGTCGAGTTTCGTCTGGCCCGGAAGACGAGGCGGATCCCAAGCGTCATGTCATTTCGAACTTCTACAGAAAATACAGAATTTTTTTCCACATTTTCTTGGGCGCTCTGTTCACCGGGTATGTTGCGTTATGTGGCGCTACGTGACCAATTGGCTTCAACTTAGACTAATACTCTCGTAGGTGGTGGATTGCCAGCGTCGTCGTTCATCGCCATGATATGAACTGGGTCATTCCGTTCCTCTTCTGGTTGTGTATCATGCTCCGGTTAATCTTCTTCCATGTTCCAATTACGATTGTTACGAAGCCCATGCATTTCGTATGGAACAATACCGGAGTCCGAGCGAGTAGCTATATCCCAGAAAAATTGCGCGTTCCTGCTGGTGCGGCCTTGACTATCGCTGTCATTATTGTCGGGGCTTTCGTGAGCGAGGAAAGCCAGGACAATACGCGTGCGAATCGTGCAGTTAGCTTGTTTGGTCTGGTTGTCTTCTTCTTCACTTTTTGGGCTACTTCCCGTAACCGGAAGAAGATCGTGTGGCACACCGTCATCGTTGGGATGCTGTGCCAATTCATCATTGCCATCTTTGTCTTGAGGACGAAGGCAGGATACGACATCTTCACCTTCGTCTCGGAGCTCGCCCGTTTGCTTCTAGGTTTCGCAAACAAGGGTGTCATATTCTTGACTGATGACTCTGTCCCAAAGCTTCTCTGGTTCCTTACTGGGGTGGTTCCCCCAATTATATTCTTCGTCTCTTTCGTCCAGCTCTTGTACTACTGGGGTATACTTCAGTGGTTCATTGGCAAGTTCGCCGTCTTCTTCTTCTGGTCCATGCGGGTCTCTGGTGCTGAGGCCGTCGTCGCTTCTGCATCTCCATTCATTGGCCAGGGTGAATCTGCGATGCTGATTCGTCCGTTTGTTGCCCACCTTACTCAGGCCGAATTACACCAAGTCATGTGCTCTGGCTTCGCTACTATTGCTGGCAGCGTGTTGGTCGCATATATGTGAGTTAAGCCTGTTAAAAGATCCCAATATACCACGTGACTGACATGTTCAGTGGCATGGGCATCAACCCTGAGGCGTTGATTTCATCCTGTGTCATGAGTATCCCTGCATCTCTTGCAATCAGTAAGCTCCGATATCCAGAGGAAGAGGAAACCCTTACCGCTGGACGTGTCGTCATCCCTGATGATGAGGAGCACAAGGCCGCCAACGCGCTGCACGCTTTCGCCAATGGTGCGTGGCTGGGTTTGAAGATCGCTGGTATGATTGTCGCTACACTCCTCTGCATTATCGCCCTTTTGAACCTCGTTGATGGTCTTCTGACCTGGTGGGGGCACTACATCAACCTAGAGGGCGAGTACGACCTCACGCTGGAGCTGATGCTCGGATACATCTGTTACCCGATTGCCTTCTTGCTCGGAGTATCTCGCGAAGGTCATGATCTGCTCCTTGTGGGTCGCTTGATCGGTATCAAGGTTATCGCCAATGAGTTTGTCGCTTTCTCCACTCTCCAGGCCAAGAATAATCCCACCTCGCCTTATCACAGCCTCTCTCCTCGATCACGATTGATCGCTACCTACGCTGTCTGTGGATTCGGAAATATTGGTTCTCTCGGCACACAGATTGGTGTGCTCAGTCAGATATCTCCGGGCCGAAGCGGTGATATTTCTCGTCTTGCGCTGAGCGCGTTAATCTCCGGTGTCATTTCCACATTGACTTCGGCCAGTATTGCTGGTCTGATTATCCAGGATCAGGTACGTGCTGTCCCGAATCGGTTCTTTCTGCACGAACGCGAAGCTGATGTTGTGTAGAAACAATTCTCTTAATTGAATAACCATGATCCAAGAGGGAGTTTCCTATTGATCTATTTAGCGGTGTGGGAACAAAATGTACACCTAGCTAGACGACGAGCGTGCAAATATACCCAGTAATGGATCTCAAAGGAGGATCTTTCACCTTTATCCCACCCTGTCCTAAATCAGTTCTCCCGTGATTCCCATGCCATGGTGCGAAAGGCACATGTTGTCGTGCAACGGCCTGAGACAATGCAGGTCTGGTGGCGGGGAGAGAAGATTTCTGCTCGATGGTCCTAAATTCCTCAAAACTTAATAGAGCAAGGTTAATAACGGCAAACAATAAAGGAAGCAGGAACGATAGAGACCCTTATTCCCTAAGATAGTTCGCCCCTTACAAACCGGATCATACCACAGACACCCAAATTTCCTTCCACAAAGCACTCGGTCAACGAACGCGATTTCATCCGCGCCATCTACCCACTTCACAGGCTGTGCGATATCCTTCGTCTAGGACATCCGAGATGGATCAGCCGATCGTCGCTTGCCTGCGAAGGTAATCCCGATTTTCGAACAAAAATTTTCAGGTCTGATATTGTCTAGAAACTCACTTGGTGAACATGGGCTCCCACTGCGGCAATCAAATGACCAGCGACGAGCATTCAGGCTCAGTGGTTCTTTCGATTCGAAAACTCGCCTGGCCAAGCTTCCTGCTCGTTTCGTGTCTCGCGTTAGGGTATGGCGGCGCTTCTTGTGGACATTCGTCACCAATCCGGTCCAAATCCCTCACCAATTTTTGTTCGGCCCGCTCGTTAGGGGAATACCTTGGCAGCAGTGTATCGTGTCCTATCTACCATGGAGTTGGGCCCATTACCTGCAAAAGACCCAGGCGAAGTTCGAAGCGACACCCTCCTTCTGGACCGAATTTCCCTAGCCACGTTCGGTGGAAGCCAATATGCCGATCATTTCTGCTCATGTATAGCTTGTACAGGTAAGACATATTCTCCGAATGGTCCGCAAGCAACCTGTGTATCCTTGTTTCCTTTTGCTCAAGAAATGGACGTGACTCTGGAACCAGCATGTGACACACATTCACCTTATCCTCTGGGAATTCCTTGTTATTAGATGCACTGGGGGTTGCATCTGGGTTAGCCTGGCCTGAGATGGATTTGAGTTCGACTTGAAGTTCAATGGTGTTGGAGTTGGCATGAAGCTGGAACAGTTCGGAACACTCGAAACGCCTAAGTGGAGAATCTCCGCGGAACCTCTTTACGCTTCACATTATCAGTGTGCCTTTGTGGGGCATGCCGACGGGCCGCTGAAGCTTAACAAACGACAGTAGCAAGGCTCTAACAAACAGTCGTACGATGGCGAGTCCACACTTGTTGACTTTCGTATGTTTATATCTCTGGACGGACTGCTCATCGCATGCAGCAATCAAGCAAGAGGCAGCACTAGCACAAAGGGCCCAACAGGCACGCCTAGCCTTGAAGAATGTGTTGCTTTCCCGCAATCGCAGAGTCGAAGCCTAAAGAGAATGGCCAATATAGAGTAACTTCGCGATAATATTCTGCTTTCGAAGAGTTTCATAATCCTACCCCCACTCAACAACAGCCCTCTTCGGAATACTCAAGCGCTAGCACGATAAACGTACAGACCAATCTAGTACTGGATATTCTTAAAGATTTGAGGACTTAACACGTGTTCTGCCTTCAAGCTCTATCAAGCGAGAAAAGAGTGGGATTTTGGGGGTTGCGAACGATATCGGACCTTTCTGGGACAGACGCATGACCCAATCAGTTCGCGAAGTCAAAGATCTTACGGATCCATAGATCGCTTGCTTTAGCCCTTCGCGAGTTATGGGGTCGCCCCAGACCCCCACAAACTAATACAGAAGTTAAGGCTGATATGGAAGACTTTGCTTTAGCCATGAGTCTGACGAGTGATTAGAAAGTTCTCTGCTATCGACAAGGCCTGTTCCCTTCCGATCTTGATTGATCTGCAGCCACACAGTGCAGGTATCCTTGCGATGTCGGCAGCTTGCAGGAGGATGTTATCGAACCGCACTGAGGCCTTTACCAACTCAATCGAGTACCGCGAAGTGTAAATCCCACTCTGCAAATCTGGAGTTGAGGTGTCAAGATAAGGCACATTTAACGTCCAATCAACGCCAAAGGATATCTGCGCAGTGGCCAGGCGGCGGCCCGGCAGCCACTAATCGGAGCTGGATGAGACAACAGCTTGACCAAAAACCATCAACTCCTGACGCGAATCTTTTCTTTTCTCGAACCAGAGGTTTCCCACACCCAGAGAAGCGTTTTAGTGCCCCTCGGCCACCGCTTGGTGGCTTATAATGCGTGCCATTGATGGGCTGGTACTTGGAAATGAGATACCCAGCGGTGCGGCGTTCGGAGAGCTGCGAACAGATCCCGCTCAGTGCCCATTGCTCTCTCCTTCCAGCTACCCTGAACAGCGTAATCTGTCTCGTGACTGCGGGTCGCATCAAACAGCTCCCGGTGATTGGATAGACAGAAACAGCGCGTTTCAAGGTGACTAAATTCCACCGCTCAACATTTCCCCATCTTATCGAACAACGCATTTCGGCTGCTTATCAGTTCTGCGGCCAGGGTGCTACACATCACAAACGTCATGTCTCCATGTGGCTCTGTGAGAAACCGCCCCACGGTCGGCTCTTCGAACCCTGGTCCTCCACCGTTTTCGCCACTTACCATGGTTCACAGCAAGGCGGGCTCACCCACTCAGTTGCCAATGTTTCCCCTCAATGGCCAGGTGAGCTCCAGGCCTCGACTTTTTTTTCCTTTGTTCATCCCCTCTAGTGTTTCGTTCGTTCTCGCGACCGCTAGCGCTTGAGGCAATCTCTTCTCTTGCACAAGAATTCTAGGCAGTGGATTTATATAGTTAGCCGTCTCCACCTGGTGACAGTCAAATCCCCAATTCACAGAAGCTTCCCCTGGTGAGGTAAAGAGGAGCACGCCTTTCGACAATAGCACCGATTATCCGAACTGGGTTTTGCTTGATTGGACACCTACAGTGATGGCAAACCCACCCCTTAGTCAGGGTGTCGGCTATGGCATTGTTATTGGTCTAGGTTTCGCATTTGCGTAAGTTCTGTCTGAATGGATAAGTGGACATGTCGTGCTGATATGATATAGCTTTGCTATGATTTTGACCACCTTTGTCTTGAAGAGGTATGTTGGCAGTATTCATCACTCTGATATATTGCTCTTTGTCGTCCTCGAAATACTATTCTTATACCTCTGAGCGAGGGCTACAAGCTTGGAGGCTGGGATATTTCGAGAGTTTGGTTACGCAGGCGGACACAAACGCAGTGGAGCAACGCTCCTAGACACGTTTGCTACCTTGACTACCCATTCTGAATCCCAACATGAATGTCAAGACCCCAAGACGCGCAGAACAAGCCTTTCGAATTGGAGCCGCGAAATACTGACATGACAACAGGTACAATTATGAACTACAAACGTCTGAGATGTTCAGCACTGCCGGACGTACCGTCAAATCTGGTCTCGTTGCCTCCGCTGTCGTGTCATCCTGGACTTGGGCCGCTACTCTCCTGCAATCATCTGGTGTTGCGTACTCGTATGGTGTCTCTGGGCCCTTCTGGTATGCTTCTGGTGCCACCGTTCAGATTATCCTCTTCGCGACGATCGCTATTGAGCTGAAGCGAAGAGCCCCAAATGCCCATACCTTCCTTGAGGTTATCAGGGCTCGTTATGGCGCTGTCACGCATTGTGTGTTCATGGTGTTTGGCCTTTTCACCAACATTCTTGTCACATCCATGTTGTTGACTGGTGGCTCTGCTGTTGTTACATCGGTAAGATCTCAAACACCAGAAGAGTAAAACGCAATGCTAATTTGACCAGCTCACCGGCGTTCCAACTGCTGCCGCTTGTTTCCTTCTCCCCATCGGTGTCGTTCTCTACACCATGTTTGGTGGGATCAAGGCTACTTTCTTGACTGACTATGCTCATACCGTGGTCATTCTTGCCATTCTCCTCATGTTCGCTTTCGTCACCTATGCCACCAACGAAACCCTAGGAAGCCCGTCTAAGGTCTTTGACCTCTTAGTCAAGGCTGCTAAGGCCCATCCAGTTGAGGGCAATGCTGGAGGTTCTTACCTCACCATGCGCTCCAAGGAGGGTGCCATCTTCTTCGTAATCAACATTGTTGGTAACTTCGGAACGGTCTTCTGCGACAATGGTTACTACAACAAGGCTATTGGTATGTCTTAGCGCTTTATCTGCCCTCACTCAGCTCTCCACAATGTCTGGATTAGTGTAGGATGTAGTTAATGCATTCCATCCCCTAGCGTATGTAATTCGAGAATCTCACTGACTTTGAACAGCTGCAAGCCCTGTTGATGCTCTTCCTGGCTATATCATGGGCGGTCTCTCCTGGTTTGCGATTCCTTGGCTTGCCGCTACCACCATGGGTCTTGCGGCTCTTGCTCTTGAGGGTAACCCAGTCTTCCCTAGCTACCCCAACCGCATGGCCCCAGCTGATGTCTCTGCCGGTCTGGTTCTCCCGACCGCTGCTGTTGCTATGATGGGTAAAGGAGGTGCTGTTGCTACTCTTCTCTTGGTCTTCATGGCTGTCACCTCCGCCATGTCTGCTGAGCTGATCGCTGTGTCCTCTATCTTCACCTACGACTTCTACAAGACCTACATCAACCCCTCCGCTTCCGGAAAGCAGCTCATCAACATGTCCCACGTCATGGTTGTGGGCTTTGCTGTTGCTATGGCAGCCTGGTCTACTGGTCTTTACTACATTGGTATCTCCATGGGCTACCTCTACCTCCTCATGGGTGTCATCATCTCCTCTGCCGTGCTCCCAGCTACCCTCACCCTCATGTGGAGCAAGCAGAATTGGTGGGCTGCTACCCTCACCCCTCCTCTCGGCTTCGCATGCTCCCTCATTGCATGGCTCGTCACTGCCAAGAAGCAGGGTGGTGCGCTCACCGTCGCCACTACCGGTGCAAACAACCCTATGCTTGCGGGCAACGTCGTTGCACTCCTTTCTCCTCTCATCTTCATCCCCATCCTAACCTACGCCCTAGGCCCCCAAAACTACGACTGGGTCTCCATGAAAGCCATCCGCAAGGGAGACGATCACGACCTCGTCGCCGCCGCGCATCTTGACCCGGAACAAATCCCCGGCGAACGCCGCCACAGCATCGTCGAAGAGGAAGAAGAACAAGCTAAACTCCTGAAAGCCTCCAAGATCGCGCGCTGGATGACAGTCGGCATGACACTCGCTCTTCTCGTCCTCTGGCCTATGCCAATGTACGGCTCCGGCTACGTCTTCAGCAAGAAGTTCTTCACCGGCTGGGTCGTCGTCGGCATCCTCTGGATGTTCTGCTCCGCTTTCTGCGTCGGCTTGTATCCGCTCTGGGAAGGCCGCAAGACAAGCATCCACACTCTCAAGGCTATCTTCCTTGACATTACAGGCCAGAAGAAGCCATCCAAGGGTCTGGTTACTGAGGCGACTGAGGGTACGGATACTCCCTCTGAGAAGGTCACTGAGAAGGTTCATGTTAAAGAGTAATTCTTCTCCTCGGCTCAACAAGTCATGGACATGATAATGGGAGATGATCTTGTGAGATCGAGTTTATGTTGGGGTTTTTTTCGGCGCGATATCCCCCTGATACGACACCACCCCTCGTTCCGAGTGCAGATCATCTTCAGATAGCGATGGAGGATATACATTAGATCTGATTTTAATGAAGAAAGATGTTCTACTTTCGCATCTGATGAGTCATTGTGTAATCATGAAAACTTACCTTCAAACTTGACTAAGATAGATCGTAGAACGTTCATATCATTTTGACCAGCCCCAGAGGTAGAATAGAATGGGAAGGGCGCCTCGTTGCATTGAATTGTGTTCAGTCACTGTTCAGTACTAATCCAATACACTCTAACCATCTCTCCTCGTCTATGTTATGCCGGTCTACACCCTTAGCTCATTTGCATTCCCATTCCCATTGACCTCCAAATATCCCCTCCTATTAGCCTTCTCCCTCCCCTCAAGGAACTTCACCGGAACATTACTAAATTTTATCAGCCGACGCACGGTCTCGCCTGACGCACGGAATTTGCCGTACAGCGGCACCGCGACTTAAAGCTCTAGGGCAACATATAAATAGAATATAGGCCTAGTTTTTTAGTGGATTAGGAAGCTAATTACAGTGATTAATTTAAGGCTACTAGCTAGTCACAGAAGCGTGCAGGAAGCTTAATAGCTCTGCCTCTGCGATTTTGCTCACATAGCAGCCCTACTACTTTAACAATTAATTAATCCTTAACTACTTACTCTAGCCTACTAGCTATAGGCTGTGTAGTCTTCTTAGCCTTCCTAGAAGTTTTAATGTTACTTTAGAGTTAGTAGTTAGCCTTTTTAGCTAGTTGCTTTTTTTTTTTTTAAAGCCTCTTTTTTTTTAGCCTTTTATAGTTAAGCGTCCTTAGTAGCTACTTTTATATACTTTTTCTCTTTAGCTATATAAGCTTTTTTACACTTCTTAGCCTTTTTACACCTAGTTTTTTTATTTTTTTATTAATGTAAAAGCTTTATAGTAGCTTCCTTCTTAACTTATTAATTACATGCTTATTAAACCTTTCTAAGACTATATAATACAGCCCTACTATAGTACTACTTAGGAGCTATAAGTAAAAAAGGTTTACTATGCTTTTACTTTTTCTTTTTATTAACTAGAGCTTTTATAAGGCCCTAATTCTTTATCTAGAGAGTTATAACTTATATTAAGAAACTATGTATAGTATTACTAAGCTACTTAGCCTACTAGTTAGAGATATTACTAACTACTTTATGTAGAAGCTTGTCTATGTGTCTTTAATCTTAAGCAGTAAGAGCTAACTAAGAGCTCTTACTAGAAGAAGGTCTACTAGTACTAGTAGTACTAAATTAAGTAAGGACTCTCTTAGAGTTAAACAGCGCTAGGCTATAGGCTTTAAAGCTAGAGAGTATATTCTTCTTAGTAAATAAAGTCTACTAAGCTTTATTAAATAAGTAAAAAAAGTTTTACTTTATAATAGCTATAAACTTTATTAATTTATACATAAAACTAGCTAGTTTATTTAAATAAGCTGTTACTAGTAGCTTAAATAGGCTAACATTAAGAGGCTATAGTGTATAGGTTAAATAAGGTAAATAGATAGCTAGCAAAATCCTGTTCTAGTTATAGTAGTTAATAAACTTTATAAAAATGTAAAATTTATAGCTATTTAGAATTAATAGCTTATACACTTAATAAGCTTTTTTTTATCTGTTTATTAAACAGCTGTTTAAGCTAGTGTAGGCCTAAATTATTATTTATCTAGCTACTAGAAGATAAGGCAAAAAAGCACTTATGTACTACTAAGTTAAAATTTTATAACTAGCTATCTTAAATGTTACTAGTGCTAGCTTAGTAGATAAGGCCTAAAAAGAGTGCAGAGCTGTTAGCGCAGATATAAGCTATATAGGTTATCTACTTATAATTACTGTTTTATATAGCTTGCTTAAGGCCACTTTTTTTATATCTCTGCCTAAAGAAGATCTGCTTTATTTTTAATAGTACACTAATAAAAAAGCCTTTCTTATTTATATTATACATATGCTATAGCTTTATCTTGTACTTTTAAATCTTCTACTATAGTAGCTTAAAATAGAGCTTATATTTAAAGGCTAAATTAGCTTACTTTTTATCTTAATCTAGGCTAAAGGTCTAGTAGGTAACTAGGGAGATTTAATGCTATTAAAAGAAGTAATTAAGCTAGACTTTTTTTACTTCTTTACTGCAGAGTTCTAAAGCAAAATTACGTAGCTATTACCTTATAAGTAGTAGGCTACGCTTATAAAGCTGCTTAATATACTTTGTAAGCTTTTTCTTTTATTGCTTATTAAGTAGTTGTTAGTTTTTATACTACTCTACATAGAAGCCCTAGACGCCTTGCTAACACTTTAATAGCCTAGTCCTTTTAACACTATACTTTTTAGCTATTATAGTGATATTAATTAATTCTTCTAGTTCTAGTGATTTTAAATATGCTAGCGCGTCCTTAATACAGTCTATATTAGTAGAGTTGTAATAATGTTGAAAATTAGCAAAATCTGGTGTGTGCGTGCGTTAGGCGAGACCGTGCGTCAGCTGATTAAATTTAGTAACGACGCAATCCCTTAACTAATCCGCCATACTCTTAGCAAAAGCACCCAACCTAGCACTCCCACTAACGCCCCGTCCCAAAACCCCATACACCACAAAATGCACCGCCAATATTCCCAGAAATTCCACACGATCGACGTTCAGCCAGCCGCCAAAAGTCTGGTTCGCCAAGCCACCAACACCAAAACGCGCGATGAACGCGTCAATTAACTACTACCTACACAGCTATGCAGCGCTGTTCTTTTAGCTAGGAGATAAGCGCAAATTGTTAGCATAACACTAAATTATCTATAAGAGCTTAGAATTTAATTATTTTCAAGTAACAGGCTAGCATACATGTAGTAAAGTTAGCTAATAAATTTAGCTGTACAATAAAGTGTGTAAGTTACAGTACTAAGTCAAAAGTTTGGTTCGCCGACAGCCGAATACAAGCACCCACCATTTCACCCACCAACTTTAAAATAGTCTACCACCTTACTAGGTGGTCGCACAGACTTAAAAAGTTGCTTAAAATAATTGCAATTAGCTTAATATTTTGTTTAATATCCTTATGTGTGTTGCAGAGCTTTAAGGCGCCTTAGCATTAAAAGAATAAGCTTCTTAATGTATGCATCTAGTATCCTCTGCTATGCTACCTTTAGAGCCTTACAGAACTCATCCTACTTGTCTTTACTATCCCCTAGCTGGCGGAGATAAGGGTATAGCCTATGGACTGTCTGTTTAAGCATCTACTAGAGGTGCTTAATAGGATTAAGATTAGGTGAATAGCGTGGCCACACTATAGTCCTAACCTGGTGGCTGGCGAGGAACTTAGCAGTACTATGTGCTGTATGGATGGGCGCGTTATCCTGCATGAATAGCTCCCCTTAGTGGTAGTTACGTAGGAGGCCCTCGCGCAGCGCCTCCTGGTAGCTCCATGCTGTGTAGCCTCTCCTAGCTTAATTAGGGTCTCTTTTCATCACTACTAGGGGGCTCCTGCGTACCCTGCCTTTATTGTTAATCTATATAGACCCCTATACTATCTAAGCATAAGATCTGCTTGTAACCACCTTCTTAATTATCTTATGTCTCTATTTCTTATTAGGATACCTAAAGCACTACTTGTAGCTGCCTCCCTATCTCTTTTAAACAGAGCATTTATCTAAAAACTGCATAGTAGTGCGCCCCTAGTTAAAGTTTTAGTACTAGCGCTTAAACTGCAGTCTTAATTAAGCTGTTTTTTTATTTATTAGGGGTTATTGCTTACACCTAAATAATCTAATGCCTTTATGCTTTAGAGCGCAGTAGGTAGTGCTCTTAAAGATGTTAAAAAGACCTAATTTATAGATAAGGTTCTTGTACTTAATCTTTAGACATTTATAAGCTTAGTAAAATAGCTAATAACAGTCCTAAGCTAACAGCTTACTAGGCTGCCCTAAGTAAGGTAAGTTGTCTACAGTTTAGTAGAGTTTCTATTATCGCAATGTGTTGCGTATACATTTAGGTGTGACGCAAAACTTAGTTGCTAGCTCTAACAACCTATAACTAGCTTAAGACTGCGCGATAATTTATAAGCGCTAAGTAGGGGTTAACTCCTTATGTCTTCTTTTATTTCTAGTAATTTTATGAAGGATTTGACAGCGTGGTGGCATTATGGGGGTGGGTAGAAGTTTAGTGGTTAGTGGTTGGTGCACTGACGCGTCGCTTCGCGAACCAAACTTTTGACGCGTGGCTGTATATAATACTATTAATTATTACCTTAGAATAGACACTAATTAATTACGCTTTTCCTCTGGCTAGCTTTTAAAGCCTACATATAAAATATTTAGTAACTTTATTATTATGCTTAAAAATATTTAATAATGTACTTTACAGGCAAGTTGCTTACACACCTAAGTTGCTTACTTTTACTAAGACCCTACTAAACTACTTTTTTTACACTAATACATTTCTAATAACACTACTTAGATGTGCTAAAAGAATACTAAATATAGCTTATACTCTAAGCTTTTAAATAAAATATAAAACTTTTAAAGAAATATGCTATAGCTATGTATAAAGTTTTTTAAAAAATAATAAATAACTATAGTACTAGACAACTTTTATAAGCTAATTTTATAGCTAACTTATAAAGGCTAAGTAATAATAAAAAGTAAGTAATTATTAAAACTATACTTAAGCTATATGCATAAAATTTTTCTTTTTAAATAGCATTTATAGCTAATATAGCTAATTCTTTACACACTAAGCATAATTTAGGCTATATTAGCATAAACTAGCTTAGTATGTTTATAAAGTGTTATTTAAAGCTTAAAGTAAAGTTTTAAGTGTAAGTATAGTTAATAAATATTTAGCTTATAATAAAGCCTATTTTACTAAAGTTATATATGTTATTATTCTAAATGCTATACTTAGCTTTAATATTTTTTATAAAGCTAAACTTACTTTAAATTACTCTAAAACTTTTATAAAAGGCTTTTTTATAGTTGTACTACGCTTAAATGTTACTTTAAGCTTTAGATAACACTTTTTAAACATACTAAGCTAGTTTATGCTAATATAGCCTAAATTATACTTAGCGCGTAAAAAATTAGCTATATTAGCTATAAATGCTATTTAAGAGAAAAATCCTTATATATATAGCTTAAGTATAGTCTTAATAATTACCTACTTTTTATTAGTACCTAGCCTTTATTAGTTAGCTATAGAATTAGCTTATAAAAGTTATCTAGTGCTGTAGTTATTTATTATCTTTTAAAAGACTTTATACATAGCTATAGCATATTTTTTTAAAAGTTTTATGTTTTATTTAAAAGCTTAAAGCATAAGCTATATTTAATATTCTTTTAACACATCTAAGTAGTGTTATTAAGAATATATTAGTATAAGAAAAGTAGTTTAGTAGGGTCTTAGTAAAAGTAAGCAACTTAAGTGTGTAAGCAACTTGCCTGTAAAGTACATTAACACTACTTAGATGTGCTAAAAAAAATTAGATATAGCTTACACTTTAAGCTTTTAAACAAAATATAACACTTTTAAAATAATATACTATAGCTATATATAAAGTTTTTTAAAAAATAATAAATAACTAACACATAAGATAACTTTTATAAGCTAATTACATAGCTAACTTATAAAGGCTAGGTAATAATAAAGAGTAGGTAATTATTAAGCATATACTTAAGCTATATATATAAAGATTTCTCTCTTAGCTAGTAGCTATAGCTAATATAGCTAATTCTTTACACGCTAAGCATAATCTAGGCTATGTTAGCATAAACTAGCTTAGTATATTTATAAAGTGTTATCTAAAGCTTAAAGTAAAGTTTTAAGTATAAGTATAGTTAGTAAATATCTAGCCTATTATAAAGCCTATTTTATTAAAGTTATATACGTTGTTATTCTAAATACTATACTTAGCTTTAATATTCTTTATAGAGCTAAACTAGCTCTAAATTACTTTAAAATTCTTATAAAAGGCTGTTTTATAGTTATACTTATAGTTAAACTTTACTTTAAGTTTTAAATAATACTTTATAAACATACTAGGCTAGTTTATGCTAATATAGCCTAGATTATGCTGAGCGCGTAAAGAATTAGCTATATTAGCTATAAATGCTATTTAAAAAGAAAATTCTTGCGCATATAGCTTAAGTATAGTTTTAATAATTACCTACTTTTTATTATTACCTAGTGTTTGCAGTGGTGACACTCAGATGCGTCGTCACTATAGTCGCACGATAGTCGGATGTGTCGTCACACAATGATAATGCGTCGGCACCATAGTCGTATGCATCTCAGCACAGTCTGTTGCCACGTCTCACCCACTTATTTCGCATATATATAGACTCCTGCAAAGGACTCCTCTAGCAATACATTTAATGCAGTTCCTTATGTCTCTAGTGCCTCACATAGCTTTACAGTCATAAGCCTAGCAATTGCTTGGTAGTTAATTAAGCTGTTTTTAAACCTCTACTAAGGAGAGCTTCTTTAACACCCTGCGCACAATCGTAACTTTTTTATTACACACTTTACTACCTTAAAGTTGCTTTTTTGTAGCACTTTAGGTATCTTTTAAGACCTTTTAGTCTAAAAAGGTAACTTAAAGTCTCTACTTTACTAGTTGTATTAATTGCGACCTCTACAATCTTCTAAGCACGCTACTAAAGCTCTTAGATAAGCACATTAGAGACATTTGTCCACCCTAAGGACATATTTATCTACTACAAGGACATACTTGTCCACCTTAAGTCTACATTAAGGACAACCTTATCTACATTAAGGATAAACCTTATCTAACTTAAGGACAACCTTGTCTACATTAAGAACACTGTAAGGACATACTTATCTACCTTAAGGACATATTTGTCTACCTTAAGGACATATTTGTCTACTGTAAGGACATACTTGTCCACCTTAAAGACATATTTGTCCACCGCAACAACAACATTGTCTACATTAAGGACAACATTGTCTACATTAAGGACAAACCTTATTTACATTAAGAACAACTAAGTCTACCTTAAGAACAACTAAGTCTATATTAAGAACACTTTAAGAACATACTTGTCTACATTAAGAACATATGTTATTAATATAACAGATTTTACTAATTTGCTAGTCTTAAAAACTATAATTATCTTTAATATAACTAATAGCTAGGACTAATAGATCTACCTCTAAAGGTTAGTTACAGAACAGCTATTTGTCTAGGAATACTGCAACCTAGAGCTCTTAGCAGATAAGGTAATAATACTAAAAGACATACTAGTTAAGCTAACATATAGTAATTATTAATTAGGCGCTACTAAACTATCTAAAATAAATAGAAAAAACCTATCTAACTATACTACTAACTATAATTAATAGGAGCGTAAAATTATAGAGTACAAAATCCTGTGTAAATCTCTAGCTAAGATAAGTGTAAAGATCTCTTAAATAATTACACTCTAGCATTACTTCTTAATTAAGGATTATAATAATAGCTATAATAAACTTATAGCGCTTAAATATTAACTAGCACTAACTAGCTCTAATTACTAAAGAATACTTATAAAGTAATACTAAGCTTTTTAAAAGAAACTATATAAAAACTTTAATATATAGCTAAGTAAATAGCTACAAACTGTTAAGTAGTGTAGAAAAGTAAATCTTCTAAATATCTAAAGTACTTATATGTAAACTAACTTTCTTTATACTATTAAGCCTTTAGCACTAGAGTTTACAGCTAATGCACTGCTTTATATTATAAAGAAAAAAGACTATAATAATCTTACATTAATTCTAAGCCTAGAAAACTACATCTTTTAATACTGCACCTAGCACCGCACTATAAACCCTGTGGCAGCTTCTATAGGATTATTTGCTACCCTAGGCATTGCAGGGACAAACTAGAATTAGTCTAGGTTTAAACTTAGTGTAAAACCTCTCTACATCTACAGCAGCACTTATTAGTTTAATAAA